TAGGTCCTATTGGTAAAGTCCTGGGGGCTGGGCTTGAGGTTATCTCATGATGCTGATAGGATGGGTCTGGGACCGAGGCGGGTTTGAGAGTGTCAGAGGGTTTGATGAAAGGGAAGGCAGGGTCGGTTGGTGACCGAAGCAACGGGGTGCCGAGGGGGAGGTATTGCTAGACAATCTGAGTCTTGAGAGGTGAGTGGGTTTGGGAGTGGTCAAAATGAAGACTGTTGGAAGGCAGGACAGTGTGACTTGAGAGTTGGGATACTGGATTCTGGTCCTGACTCGCCACTACAAGACCCAGGGACTTTAGGAATTTCCCTTCGGTCATCAGGTCCCCATTTGAAAGTAAGGAAATTGGACTGTCCTCCTTTTCACACGAAGATTGCATAAACTTTGCAATATGTGCAGTGGTTTCCCATTGTCTGTATCATCTGCTAACCAGCCAGCGATACTTTTTGCAACAAGGAACATGAATTGAGGACATACTCTATGCCAGGCACTGGGGAAGTAAAAACAATGCTTGGGGTGTAGGCGGAGGATAAATGAAATTAAAGTAAAAAATATACTGCTATCTTGGCCTCACCTCCGGAGATGCTGATTTACTGGTTTGGAATGGAGGCTGTGCATTGATATATATATATATATTTTTTTTTTTTTAAACTAAGCAGGTCAGCAGGTAATTACAATGTGTAGCCAAAGCTATGAAACACTGCTGTAGTGTCTCTTACCTTAAAAAAACAAACAAACCCTAGTAATACAAAAATATATATAACTTTCTGCTTGACCTCACATTGCCTCCCCACCCCTCTACTCCCCTAATAATAACAACCTCTCTTTCTCACTTCGGGAAAGGGTTTCTGTGGCTACTTCCTCATTTTTGAATTGTGCTTAAGGCCATTCCAATCTGAGCTTGGACCACCTGCATCAGAACCTTCTAGGTTGGCATTCAGAAAAGCAGATTCCTGAACCTCACCGAGACTTACTGAATCGGAAACACTCTGGGATGGGGACTTGAAAATTGCACTGTAAACACACAATCCAGGTTTGAAAATTACTTCCCAAAACGGTCTCATGACTTCTAATGCCATTTATATGCCAACAATCCCCCAGACTGACTCTAGACTGGACTTCGTTGCTGAGCCCCAAACCCCTGTGGTGTCCTAAAAGATGAAATACAGGCAGGACAATGAATGAACTGATTACTTGACCAATCTAGTGGGGTATCTCAAGTATCTGCATCTTAATTTATTCTATACCTAACTTTTAACCTTTCTGTCTAAAACGTGTACCTTTGAAAAATATGTGTTTTTATTGATTTCAGAGAGAGGAAGGGAAAGGGAGAGAGAGATAGAAACATCAATGATGAGAGACAATCATCAATTGGCTGCCTGCTTCCTGCACACCCCCCCTCCTACTGGGGATTGAGCCTGCAACCAGGTATGTACCCTGACCTGGAATCAAACTATGATCTTCTGGTTCATGGGTCGACATTCAACCACTGAGCCACACCAGCCGGGCTAAAACTTGTATCTTTCTTTCCCAGTTTTCCTCCATCGGGGAATGTAAAACCACCCTCCATCCAATTGCTCAAGTCAGAATTCTGGGAGTCATTCTTAGCTGTTTCTTCCTTTTAGTCCCTCCCCTCTGTCCTCTACATAAAGAAGACATCAGCAAATTTTATTGATTCTACTTCTATAATGAGTGTCTTTTTGTTGTTGTTAACCCTCACCTGAGGATATTTTTTCTATGAGTTTTAGAGAGAGTGAAAGGTGAGGGAGGAAGGAAGAAAGAGAGAGAAACATCTATGTGGGAGAGACATATCAATTGGTTGCCTCCTCCATGCGCCCTGACCAGGGTCAGGGATCCAGCCTGCAACCAAGGTATGTGTCCTTGACCAGAATCCAACCCAGGACTCTTCAGTCTGAGAGCCAACGCTCTATCCAAACCAGCTACGGCTAATCTACTCACTTTTATGGAAAACAGAGCATTTGGTTTTCTTCTGCCTATCTCACTCTTTCCCCTTATTCTACCATCAGCCCATACTTACCTTTTCCCATTCTCCCAAGATCATTCTGTCACAATTTGGGGTTAAATAAAGATTCAGTATTTATATTAATCTGAATATGTAAATATTATTCAGAGCTGAGCCATATGGTTTTATTTAACTTTTGGGGCAGGATTCAGTCATATCTTAACTAGATCCTTATTCTTTGGCTTAGTTTTCTGTACACAGTTCTGATGCCACTTCCTTCCTACACTTTCTGAAAGAACTGTAAAACTCCTCTCTTATGGTGAAGCTCACCAGATGTTTCTCAGTTCCACTATTGTTTTCTTATAGACATCCTTTCTGGCCTTGCCCTATGTATCTCTTCTATCTGGTTGCTCCTGAATCATCATATTTTATAACAAACCTGTGTTCTAGTAAGTAAACAAAACAAGATACTGATGTTTTGAGCTATCCATAAATGGGAGCGTCACTACTGTTAATTATCCTTAGGAAATGCCTCTTCTCTTGGTTTTCATGCTAGTCTCCTAGTGTTCTACAGTCTTGTTCTCTCTCTCTCTCTCTCTCTCTCTCTCTCTCTCTCTGTGTGTGTGTGTGTGTTTCTGGTTTAGAAAATAAGTCTATTTATCCATTTGTTGCACAAATATACACTGAGTGTTGGTGGGCCAGACATCGATTTGGGGTCATGGAATCCATCAGAGAACAAGTCAGGTGAAGTCCCTGCCTCACGGGACTTCCATTCTAGGAGGAGAAACATACAGCAGACAAATTAATGCATGCTATAATCAGGAAGTAGTTTCTATTCTGAAGAAAAATAAAGCGGGTCAAGCCCTAGCCAGTTTGGCTCAGTGGATAGAGCATTGGCCGGCGGACTGCAGGGTCCTGGATTCGATGGGCCCTGGCCCATTTCAATGGGAAAATATCCTCAGGTGAAGATTAACAAAAATAAAAATAAAATAAATAAAGCCGGTTAAAAGAATAAACGGTGATGTGGTGGGAGTGGGACTGTTTCATACAGGATAGCGAGCGCAGACTTAAACGTTTGTAGGAGCCCGGCTCTGTGGATAAAGCCTGGGCCTGCAGACTGAAGGGTCTCAGGTTCAATTAGGTTGCAGGCTGATCCCCAGTAGGGGGCGTGTAGGAGGCAGCCAATCAATGATTCCCTCTACCCTCTCGTTTCCTCTGTGAAATCAATAAAAGTATATATATATATATATATTTAAAAAATAAATAAAAATAAAAGTTTGCACGAGACCTGAAGGAGAAAGGAGCATGAGCCTTGGGTGGGTCTAATGCACACCTGTAAGTTTGGAGATCAGCAATGGTCTCCAGGTAAGGCACGCACTTTGGATACTAGGGGATCTTCCGCTAGAAACAAGGCGGTACTATCCACAGAGTTAAACTAACATTCAAATCTACTTTTCAACTTTTGGAAAGTAGCCTCGTAAGAACGAGGCCTCGAAAAATTGAGTGAAAACTCACAATTGTTCCTCTCCACGGAAATCTTTAGTAAAAGGCGAAAGATTTATACGATCTGAAGAGAAACCAGAGTATGCTTATAGGACTCCGCCCGGATGCCTTAGACCACGCTCACCCTCAGCTCACTTATGGTTGTCGCGTGCCCGCGGGTCCCCGCTCCGCCGGGCGCTCGTGGAGACCCTGCCTTGGTAGCAGGCAGTGTGCCCAGCGGCGGTGGGAGGTTCCCGCGGGTCTGGAGCTCCCGCGTGGGAAC